TTAAACCACATCATTGCTCAGGCACTAGCCAGTAACCCCAAACCCTAAACCCTAAACCCTAAACCCTAAATATCTTTTTTTCTGTGTTCTGAGGAGACTGCGGCTTGTAGATGTTGGACGGGTCTTGATGCTTAAAGGAGACAGCAGCAAAAGGAGACACATTTGAGGCCCTTATGCAGCTGCTGCTGCTGTCTCTTCTGCTGCTGCTGCTGCTGTCTCTTCTGCTGCTGCCGTTGCCTTTTCTACTGCTGCTGCTGCAGCTGTTTCTTCTGCTGCTGCAGCTGTCTCTTCTGCTGCTGCTGCTGTTTCTTCTGCTGCTGCTGCTGTCTCTTCTGCTGCTGTCGCTGTCTCTTCTGCTGCTGCTGTTGTCTTTTCTACTGCTACTGCTGCAGCTTTCACTTCTACTGCTGCTGCTGCAGCTGTCTCTTCTGCTGCTGCAGCTGTCTCTTCTGCTGCTGCTGCTGTCTCTTCTGCTACTCCAGCTGTCTCTTCTGCTACTCCAGCTGTCTCTTCTGCTGCTGCAGCTGCCTCTTTTGCTGCTGCAGCTGTCTCTTCTGCTGCTGCAGCAGTCTCTCCTGCTGCAGTTGTTGTCTGTTTTATTAGGTGTTGGGGTGTACGTGGAGGTGTAGTTGCTATTGTGTGTATTGTATATGCAGGCGCCACCCTATCTCTTCGTTTTCGTTCTGCTGCAACTTGTGGTTTAGAGGGTTTATTAAGTAATTCTATTCCTCTCCCTTCTCTTTCTTTTTTATCTGTCTCTTATGCTCCTCTTATATCAAAGGCCTTAATGCCTTTTGTTATGAATACAACTAAAGATATTACGCTGGCTGTATTCAAACAAAAACAATCTCTCTTCTCTGCATTACATGCAGAAGGAATGTTCTTAACTGCTAATCTATTATACAGGTCAGCTCACGCTCCTGCTGCTCCTGCTGCTGCTGCTGCTGTCTCTTCTGCTGCTGCTGCTGCTGCTGCTGTCTCTTCTGCTGCGGCTTCTGCTGCTGTCTCTTTTGCTTCTACTGATGCTTTTGCTCAGTCTCTTCTGCTTCGACTGCTGCTGCTGCTGCTTCTGCTGCTGCTGCTGCTGCACCGGATGCTGATGATGCAGCAGCAGCAGCTGCTGCTGCCATCGCTGCCGCTTCTTGTTGTTCCTGTTTTTCTTGTTGTTTATATTGCTCGTTTTGGTTAGTGTCATTATTATTATTATTATTTATTATTATTTATTATTAGTGTTATTGTGAATATTATTATTATATAATATATTTAATTATTATATTGTATTTCTTATTCTTTTTATCATTGATATTATTTTTATAATTTATATGATTCCCGAGACTATTTTTTTTTTTTTTTTTTTTTTTTTTTTTTTTTTTT